AGTATTCTTTTTTACATATCCTCAGAATATGGGTTAATTTATTCTTATATTTTTTATATTTATTTTCTGCTTCTGAAGTTCTATATTTTATGAATTGTCTATATAGTGTATTTTTCTTTTTGCAGGCATTTTTTAAACCATTAGTGATCCATGCACTGTGAGTTTGTTTGTGTCTCTCTCTGCATTGTTTCACAGGACAGTTTTTGTCATAAAGTGCTTTAAAGATGTTTAGAAATTCATCATAGGCCTTGTCAATATCGTCTCTCTCATATACTACCCTCCAATTCATCCATCTCCATCCATCTTCTCCCGCTTATCCGTGGTCGGGTCTCGGGGGTATCAGTTCCAGCAGAGAGCCCCAAACTTTCTTTTCCCTGGCGACATCAACCAGCTCTGACTGGGGGATCCCAAGGCGCTCCCAGGCCAGCGAAGAGATATAATCCCTCCACCTGGTCCTAGGTCTACCCCTTGGTCTCTTCCCAGCTGGACGTGCCTGGAACACCTCCCTAGGGAGGCACCCAGGTGGCATCCTAACTAGGTGCCCGAACCACCTCAACTGGCTCCTTTCGACGCGAAGGAGGAGCGGCTCAACTCCGAGTCCCTCCCTGATGACCGAACTTCTCACCTTATCCCTAAGGGAGACGCCAGCCACCCTGCGGAGAAAACCCATCTCGGCCGCTTGTATCCGCGATCTCGTTCTTTCGGTCATGACCCATCCTTCATGACCATAGGTGAGGGTAGGAACGAAAATTCTGCTTTAGTAAATCATTCTTAAATGCAATTATGTTTTCTTCAGTTCTCAATGTTTTGTATTTGAAAAGGCTGGCGACTTTCGGTTTCTTAGAACTGCAGTGATAGACAATAAAAACAGGTAAATGATCACTTATGTCACTATATAATAGTCCGCCTACTGTATTATTTTCCATAATGTTTGTGAATATGTTGTCTATTCATGTAGCAGAATGAGAAGTGATTCTACTAGGTCTGGTGGTTTTAGGATACAAACCCATACTTTACAAAGTATTGATGAAGTGTTCTGTCATGTTATGCTTATTTGGATTCAACAGGTCAATATTGTAATCCCAGATAAATATAATTTGTTGTAATGATTTAGTAAACATGTTTTCTACCCTATCTGTAAATGTGTCAATACAGGTTCCAGGAGCTCTGTATATACAACTCACAATAACATTTTTAGACTTTTCCATACACATGTCTACTGTAACACATTCAAACAAATCGTCAACAGCTGTTGTCATGCTCTCCGCCACCTTATAGTTCATTCCTTTCTCCACATAGATCGCCACACCCCCTCCACTCTTATTCCTTCTGTTTGTATAATTCAGTTCGTAGCCATTCATCTCAAAGTCCACACCTTTCTCAGCACTGATCCAGGTCTCTGATATTGCTATGATGTTGAATGGGTTCTTAAACTGACTTAGATATTCTTTAATGTTGAGGAAGTTGGCATCTAGGCTTCTGCTATTGAAGTGGATCATTGATATGTTCTCTTCTGATTGACGCGTTACATTGAATTGCTCTTCTGTGAAATAGTTGCAGCTGTTGTTGATATTGTTCAGTAAGTTGTTTACCGGATCAATGTCATTTTCCATGTCCTGTGCTTTATGCTCTGTATATGCAAACGTTTCAAGTCTTGATGGAGATTTGTGTATATTATCTGGAATTGTCATGGTAGTGTTTTATTCTCGTTACCTTGTCTGATTTGTTTCATTGGTATTTTTCCAGTTCCTCCAGGTGATGATGATGATGAACACTTTGGCTTGTTCTGGGGGTCCGTTAAGCTTGATGAAGATCTTGCAGCATGTTGATTGTATTTTTTACTGTTTTCTCAGGAATCGGGCCTTTCTGGCGATCTCAGCATTTATTTTAGTGAGGTGTTCATTCAGTATCTGCTGGTAGAATCTCCCGCATAAGCTCCGCCCCTCTTTTTTAATCAATTTTTTTATTTTTAAAGCTTTATACCCAAAATCAGCACTTTTGAAACAGGAAGTGAAATAGAGGGATATGAGGCATGGCTAGAATGATCTGTTTGGTGTTTGGAGCAAAACACTTCATAGACATGTTTTATATATATATTCTTATATATCTGAGACCTATGCTATTACCTAAAAATAGCATGATAGGTGACCTTTAAAGAGAAATAAAAAGAGTAACAAAATAAAAAAATAGACAAATCTTTCTTGTTTTTTTTACTAGAATATATTTGTTGTAGTATAAATATTATTTTAATTTATAATTTATAAACTAAACTAAGGAGAGCTTTCCGTTTCCTTATCTGTTACAACGAATATTACTTTTAGCCTCAAGAATGGTCATGTTATTGTTGCTAGAAGTAGATTATGTAAACAAATAAATAAAATGCATGCAATATGTGTTTCAATATAACTGTAGTCATAAATGTATGTATTTGTATATAATTGCTGTTCATTTTTATGTTATCATATTTGCACCTTATTGTATCTTTTAAATATATTCAACCCGTGTTATGACCAAAGCACTCACTTGGGGCATCTGGAGAGGTACAAATAAAGCTCATTTTACATCACATTACATTACATCACATGTCACTTGTTAGACGCTTTTATCCAAAGCGACTTACATACTCAACACTGTGGACAATCCCCACAGGAGCAATTTGGGGTGAAGTGTCTCCGCGACACAACGACATGCTGACTGCAGTGGGGTTTGAACCTGTTGGACCCATGGATGTATAATAAGGTTGGACCCCCTGATCCGAACACTAACGCACAACCCACTGCGCCACACGCCTCCCTATTTTATAGTACTATGCAAATTAAACAAATATGAGACCTGTACATATGAGAACAGAACACTTTGTCAACTTGGTGCCACATTTTTAATCAAAAGATAAAAAAGACGTGAAGCTTTTAATTTAATATACACGATCTTGCAGGAAACACTTACACAAATAAAATAATGCATTTCGAAATATTGAATTAAATATATAAACGAACAGTTATAATTTGTTTACCAGGCGTAAAATATAACAAGAGGAGCAAGTACTTGAAAATAAAAAAGGGTAATACATTTTTAAAATGTACTTGTCTTTCTTGTTATTTTACTAGAATATGTTTGTTTGAGCCGTGAGAAAAATCATTGTTGTATGTATAAACTAAACTAAGGAGAGCTTTCCGTTTCTCTATCTGTTAAGATGTATATCACCTTTAACCATAAGAATGGTCATATTAATTATTTAAGAAATAGATTAGTTTAAATTATTTATAAATAAAAAATGGTGTGCGATATAAATATATTAGTCAGGCAGCTGGAAGGACAGCCCACAGGGGTCCTCAATCCTTTAACGCGGACATGCGCAGAAGATTTTTCCTTTTTCTCGGTGGACGCAATGGCGGACTCAGTGTGAGTGTCTTCCGCCGTCTTACAATCTACCCGAATCCTGTCTTTAAATAACCATCGTTATACATTTTACACATTATATAGTTTGTTTAGTTAGCACACAACGTACTCCGTGTATTATTGTTTGGGATTGTTGGTTTTATAAGTTTTTAAAAGGACTTCTTTGAGTCTTGTGTTCAGCGGTAGTAATCCAACATGGCTGGACGTGAAGACTCAAGAAGTAGCTCGCTTTTGTGCTAAAATGGACAACAAATTAAATATGTAACTGCTGGAATGAGTTGTAGACTCTCGTAATGTTTTCATTACACATCGGCTAGTTTTCAGGGAGCCGGTAAATACTGACCGGTTAGCATGCTAGCAGCTAGCAGTGGTATATACACGCTGTTAATTCGTAGTAGTTCAGCTTTGTTTGAGACTACCTGCTTTTTGTCAACATGTTTCGAGCTTTGTTCTTAAATGTTGCATCTCCTTTAACAGCAAACAAGTTCAGGCGGTCCCTGAGAGCCTTTTGAAAAGGCGAAAGGCCTTTGCAACCATGAAGGCCATTCGCATCAAGAAGATGCTTTCTGAGAAGAAGGTAAGATGCATGCTGGTGTATAACTGTTTGTCTGAGAGCAAATGTTAGCATTGAATTAGTCTGCAACAGGCATTGTAATGTATGCTGTCTCGAGTAGAACAATTCTCCTCCTTGCTTTAGCTCTTTCTATTAAGTGTTCATTATTTTTAATAGGGCACACGTGTCTGCTGTTTAAAGTCACTAAAGAAAGCTCAAACCGGTGAAACGTTTGTATGAAACCCCTTTTGGGAATATACATCTAGCTTTAATATATTACGGTTATGTATTCTTGCAACCCTCTTTAATGCACTCGCACTAAATCAATCGACCTATTTGTTTACAAGTCTAATCGGTACAAACAATCCTATCTGCACATACCCAGATTCAATGGGTCGTTTTTTAAAGTTCCCACATTAACTATTAGCATAGCATTCCTCCTCCACACCTTCAAAGCGTTTACTTGTGTGTTTGTACTGTTAACATAGCTAATGAGAGCATTGAATAAGTCTGTAGAAGTACTTATATTGAGGAGTGTACATATAGGAGTTTTCAGGGGCAAGTAGACAAATGATCCTTAGGGTTTTAGCTCCTATTAAGTGTTCATTATGGCACATGTTTCCATCTGCCTTGAAGTCAAAGAAGCTCCACATGCTAAAAGATGTAGGCCAACACCTTTGATTCAAAATGACTGCCAGCATACAAAACATTAAGGCTGTGATTGACTAGATGTTCCTGTGTATTTCCTTTTTAATGCACTTACAAACTAGTTCATACCTAGATTCAATGGGTCGTTTTTAAAGTTCCCACCTGTACTGCATTCATTGTTATCATAGCCTCCTCTTATATACCTTCAAACACCGTAAGTGTTGGTTATAACTTGTATACATGTTGAAGGCCTGAATTCATTGACCTGCTGTGATGCTAGAAGTTTACTGATGTAACTGAGGAGTCACTTATTTCAGTTACAAGTATGCTTTCTCTGAGGTGTTAATTGTTGTCTGAATCCCTACTTTTTAAGTTGCTGTTAGATTAAGGATTAGTGCTACATGTGGTTAATGATGCACAATTTTTTCCCCGTCTTATCGACCATGGTGAGAGAAACTGAGAACTAAGCCAGTTTATCTGAAACCACATGCACTGATCTAATAATCATCACCGTGTATATGTTGACTTGTAGCTGAACAGTGCACTAAAAGAGCATGTTTCCTAATGTGTTCTCAGGCCCGCAAAGTGACCAGGTATTTGATCTACAAGAGGGCCGAGAAGTACCACAAGGAGTACAAGACGATGTACAGACGTGAGGTACGTCTGGGCCGCACTGCTCGCAAAGTGGGAAACTTCTACGTGCCGGCAGAGCCCAAACTCGCCTTCGTCATGAGGATCAGAGGGTGAGTAGTGTCCGTCGTATGAAACTATCAGTAGCATTTACATGGATTACTAAGTTTCCTACAAGACATGAAGCTCAAGCTGTTGCCAGAATATTGGCATTTCCCAATTAAGCATTGAGAAGGCTAATTGTAAAGTAATACACCAACTGAAACTACTATAGGGTACAGCAAATACTAAGACTTCATATAATCAGTTATTATAGCCTCTGGATAGACGTTTGAGCCTCGAGACGGCACAAGCAAATATTTAGGTGGTAATGAATTGCTTCTGTTCTGAAGGCCTTTCCCTTCTCTAAATGTAGTAATCCATGTAAGTGTACTGTCTGCTGTGTTTAGTGATGACCACTCTTTCCCCGACTTATCGACTATGCTGATAAAGCTTTGTATATTAAGCCAGTTTGTCTGAAACCACAAATCTCAAAAACGAAAGCTGCATCTTCACGCTAAGCTATAAGCTAATCATTGTCCTCGTTCCCCCCCCCAGTATCAACGGTGTCGCGCCCAAGGTCCGCAAGGTTCTGCAGCTGATGCGTCTTCGCCAGATCTTCAACGGCGTCTTCGTCAGGCTGAACAAAGCCTCCATCAACATGCTGAGGATCGCCGAGCCCTACATCGCCTGGGGGTAAGAACTTCATGGATATGTGTCCCAATATTAACTCGGCGACAGGGTTTCCGTTAGCCGGTAATCACCGGTTTTTAGCTGGTAAAATTTAAAACCGGTAAATTCAAAACCTGCCGGTCAAAATGTCCGATGCTCCGATCGATTGGCCGCCGATCATTATCGGCCGATATTCACTCTTAATAGTTTGATCTGTGCTCTCTATAAAGGCCGATCAGGAGAGCTGGATCTAGGACAAGTGAGAGAGATCAGATCAGCTGCTGCATAATCACCTGAAGCCCCGCATGTCAGGAGAGAGTCTCCGTTTCTCCCGTGTTATTATTCAAAGTTAATTTAATCATTTGAATAATGTACTTCATCTACTACAAGTAGTTTCTTTGAATGTAATAATTATGTTGTTGTAGCGAATCATTTATTAAAAAATGAACCTGAATTTTTCGACCTGTTACGATTATAAACTGAAGCGATACAAAAATGAGTTTTAAACATCAGCATATCCGGTCCTAGTCCGGTGATTATCTGCTAACTCTGTTACACAATTCTCATTATTGAAACATGACCGGTAAGTTTCAAATTTGTCCGGTCAAATGAATTCTTTCCGGACATTTGACCGGTGAGAAAAAATCCTAGTGGAAACCCTGATAGTGGCTTTATATCTGGAATGTGGTTAATGATGCTCAACTTTTTTCCCCATCTTATCGACTATGGTGATTACTTACTGAAACTAAGCCAGTTTGTCTGAAACCACATTCCAAGATAGTAACATGTGCTACTGTGTGCTAGATTTGGGTTACAGTAATTAACGTGTTGGGTGAGAAATAGCTCATTATTGGCCGATTAGAGGCAACCCAAAGTACCCTCTTCCTGCTTTTGAGTAACTCTTTAACGCTTTATTCGCTGTAAAACAGTTGTATCCAAACTATGACATATTCTGATGAAACATAGACTGCAGATGTTCTGGTGTGCTGCTATTTTAGAGTTCATTCAGATTTCTGTGTAACTGATTAGGGTTAGTTAGCTGCTTTTAGTCAGAGGTGCGTCTGCATGTTTTCCATGGTATGAATGCAAAAACAATCTTTTTTCCGTCTACACTCATCTCTCCCTGTTGTCAACAACATTGTTCAGATGTAACCAGAGTTCATATAACTGTTATGACCCGTTGTTCCCCTCAGATACCCCAACCTGAAGTCTGTGCGTGAGCTCATCTACAAACGTGGTCATGGCAGGATGAGGAAACAGCGCATCGCTCTCACCGACAACGCTCTGGTGGAGAAGGCTCTCGGTATGCAAAACGTATTATTATATTAATTGGGAACAAGTTGTGCTTCTCTGGGCCTTTTTGATATATTACGCGTTGAACAAGGTAGTGTTGTTCTGTAGAAACTGTCACTACTTGATCAAGTGGCTGTTAACTCGAGGTCTTCTGCAACATGTGGTTAATGATGTACAATTTTTTCCCCGTCTTATCGACCATGGTGAGAAAAACTGAGACTAAGCCAGTTTGTCTGAAACCACATGTCAGTCGAACAGTATTTAACCACTAGGATATATTTTTCTTACACATCCTCAAGAAACTTCTACAAAGTAGGGATGCCAGTGATTATTCGTTAGTCTCCATAATCGATTATTATTCGCCAGGGCTGCAGAATAATCGATTTTGATCATGGTCAGTTTCTGGCAGCCCTACTACAAAGTAAAATGTATGCTGAGCTTTAAGGGAGACATTGAACTTGGAAAACTACTTGGGAGAGGTTCGCAATGATGGCAAACGATAAACTCCAGTCTTTATTTGAAACTGTTCTGACCAGTAAAGCCCAAATTGTCAGATATTCTATATTGCACTTGTGTCAATTAACATTTGACACGCAACTATTTCCTTGACTGATTTCTCAACACCAGAGTGTCCTTTATAAGTGGGAGCAACAGTTGTATGGTTTCCTAAAAATCACGTTTCTTTTTTGCTCTCCAGGCAAATACGGCATCATCTGCGTGGAGGATCTCATCCACGAGATTTACACAGTTGGCAAGAACTTCAAGCCCGCCAACAACTTCCTGTGGCCCTTCAAACTGTCGTCTCCCCGCGGCGGCATGAACAAGAAGACCACTCACTTTGTGGAGGGAGGAGACGCTGGCAACAGGGAGGACCAGATCAACAGAATGATCCGGAGGATGAACTAGACTCATGGTGAGTGGCAGCGACTAAAGATCTGCAGAGGATACATGGCTCATAGGTGTGGTTAATGATGCACAATCTTTTTTCCCCATCTTATCGACTGTGGTGAAACCAGTTGTATTTAAGCCAATATGTCTGAAACCACATCTAAGGCCTCCGTGTTAGAATCCTCTGCCACACGGGCTTTAGTCTGCAGAAATACATCAATTATATATTTAAGTTTTGTTAATGTGACATCGCTTTAGATTGAGTTTAGCATTGCTTGTCTTTATTGGAAAAAGCCGCCTTTGACAAAATGATACCCGCGTGAAACATGAGTTTTTAGAAGCATAGATTAAGGGGTTCACACCTGCCTCGTATAGTCCGGTTGAATCGAACCCTGGTGCGTTTAGCCGCTTGGTGCGGTTCGTTTGGGTCGGTGTGAACGCAGTCCTCTGAAGTGAACTAAACAACCGGACTCTGGTCCGCTAAAAGAGGTGGTCTCGGAGCGCTTGCTAGTGAACTCTGGAGCGGTTCATCGCTGGTGTGAACGCAGTCCAACCAAAACATAGGAAGCGTAGTATTTACGAGTCACAAGAACGCGGATGTCTTCAAAAATCTTTAGCGAAAGACTTTCAAGACATCCGCGGTTGTTTCGTGAAAGAGTGAAGCAGAATGAAGTGCTGAACAGTGTCGTGTAAAGTAAAAATTCTCCGTCAGCTACATAAAAGTAAGAACACCTGTCGTCGGTGAAACCTCCTCCTGACTGCAGAACGTCTCATTGTGTTATAATGGTTTTTAACGGGCGTTGTCTGATTATATAATCATATGCGTGGGCTGCTGTTGATCTCCAGACTAACAGCAGCATGAGAACAACCTGCTGAAAGTGCCGATGCTCCATGGCGGAGGCTCCGGGAGAAATTGCCGGGATTTGCGTTTTTACCCCTTAATGTCTGACCAATGGGTGAACAGCATTTCCGAGCACATGACTTGTGTTTAAAGTTTATAGTCCGTTTGAGTTTTGCTGCGTGAACGCAAACCAAACCTTCTGAAAAATGAAACGATGTAACAAACTGGTCTGGTGCGCAGCTGAGAGCGGACTGTTAGGTGTGATATTAATAATGAAGATACTTTACGAGTGTTTTACATCTGGTAAGAAATCACTTGGTCCCGTCAATAACAGTTTCTCTTGTCTCTTTCAGATCCGGAGGACGAACTAGACTCATGGTGAGTGGCAGCGACTTTTAACTCTAAAGATCTGCAGAGGAGACATGGCTCATAGGTGTGGTTAATGATGCACAATCTTTTTTCCCCATCTTATCGACTGTGGTGAAAACCAGTTGTATTTAAGCCAATATGTCTGAAACCACATCTAAGGCCTCCGTGTTAGAATCCTCTGCCACACGGCCTTTAGTCTGCAGAAATACATCAATTACATATTAAAGTTTTGTTAATGTGACATCGCTTTAGATTGAGTTTAGCATTGCTTGTCTTTATTGGAAAAAGCCGCCTTTGACAAAATGATACCCGCGTGAAACATGAGTTTTTAGAAGCATAGATTTAATATTGAAGATACTTAACCTTATCTGTACGAGTGTTTTGCATCTGGTAAGAAATCACATCGATAACAGTTTCTCTTTTGTCTGTTTCAGGTTTGCAAAGGACTCAAAATGTACAATAAAAAATCTTGGAGGAAAAAAAAAAAGTTTTTGTTTCTGTCGTTAATCTCTGATGTGCACTTTGATTCAGAAATGTGTGTGATCTACTATATTTTGGTTAACAGCAAGGTATCTTTTTCCACATCCACTTAGTTCATATAGTTGGTTTTAGCAGTGATGTTGGATTCAGCTGTCACCAATTTTGACATAAAATGACAAACGGTCAGTTAGAAATGGAGCACTTCACGTAAGGCTGTGGGGAAACTAAGGACCCTTATTGAAAACGTTAGTACCGAAGACTCACTGGAAAGTTATCCTTGTATGGTTAGATATACATCTTTAGATTTTAAATTGTTTTCTTAGTACTTTAACATCCCATAACCTTACAAGAGTTAACAAATATAACATTGTTCTCCAGTATTGAGGGAAGGCCAACTACTAAAGGGTGAAGTACTTACAGTAGATATGTGCTGTTTTTGATAACTAAGTAAAAGTTATACTTTTTAGATTCCATTTTCTGCTACTATTGATGAGTTTGATGACCTTTTTCAACCATCCAATGAAATAAAGGATAAATAAGTGTGTATAAACAACATATGGTAAGAAAGCAATTCATATAGAAATAATAAACAAGATATTTAATGAAGATATTTGTATAACATGAACTGTATACGAAAATTAGATAAATAAACGTTAATACATTACGATTAAGTTTAACATTTTAACCGTTAATTTAAGAATCAATCAATCAATGAAAACCGTTTATGAGAAACCGTTATTTAATTAAGAAGCAAATAAATAAAAACCGTTAATATATGATGAGTAACGGTCTTCCTGCAGCCTGTTGTCATGGTGACGCAGTGACTCGGTTACAGCTAGCATCGCAGCTCGGGATGCTAAGCCCCAGCTAACGGTCCTTTTTATGAATTTTAAAAAATGCCCCCCAGCAGGTGCGTGTGTGTGTTCATCCATAACCGGTGATAATACAGGTGATGCGAGGCCGCTACAGCATGATGGCCATCCAGGTAAACGCGTCGCTACTACCCACTGCTAATAAGGCTCTGACATCGGACCGGGGTTCGAGCTGCAGCCACCCCGTCCTTGAGGCTCCATGTTCGGCATACAGGAGCTCCGGGAGGGGGGGTAGGAAACATCCGGACGAAACTGCCTCTCATCCAGCCTCTGAGCAGTGAGTAATGCTGTGTTTCTATACATGACGCTAGCTTAATGTGGGACATCAGGGCGGGTAATGTTACCTTAAGTACATTTACTCAAGTACTCCACTTAATTCGAGTATTCCTACACTCTGGTACTTCTACTTTTACTCAAGTACAAGATCTGAGTATAGTTCTACTCTTACTCAATTACAAGGTCTGGGTACTTCTACTTTTACTCAAGTACAAGATCTGGGTACTTCTACTTTTACTCAAGTACAAGATCTGGGTAGGCCTACTTCTACTTTTACTCAAGTACAAGATCTGAGTACTTTTACTAAGTACAAGATCTGAGTACTTCTACTTTTACTCAATTACAAGATCTGAGTACTTCTACTTTTACTCAAGTACAAGATCTTAGTCCTTCTACTTTTACTCAAGTACAAGATCTGAGTATTGCAGTATTTGTCATTTACTTAATTAGTTTCACATTATGCTATGTTGTACTTTTACTGCACCACATGTATTTTACATATTTACTTATCAGATTACGGTTATTAATACAAAATATAAATCAACACCCATTATTATATATATTATAGGTTAAGTTACCTGTTAGTGTATAAAGCAATTCAAATCAAACCCACTTAACCAGTGCAACATTGAAGTAATGATCACATACTTTTCAATGCAGGACTTTTACTTGTAATTGAGTATTTATACCCTGTAGTTTTGCTACTTTTTCTTAAGTAAATATCTGAGTACTTCTTCCACTTTGTGATATATTAACCTGTACTCCTGGTTGCAGGGTCCCGGGACTGGAACACCTGGAGCGGGGGCTTCATGGTCGGAGGGTGAGTTTCTAACCTTGTTTCCTGAGGTCAAAGCTAACATTAGCATTGATTGAAAGTAGTTACAATTAAAGGGTTTGTTTTAGCAAAGATATACACAGGAAATATCCTGCAGTTCAATGTATTATCTTTGCTAAAACATGCCTTGTTTAATATACTTGTCCTTTGGACAAAATGTTTCTAACCTTGTTTCCTGAGGTCAAAGCTAACATAAGCATTGATTACTTACCCTGTTACTAAGTAGAGTAATTACACTTTCAGGGTAACTCAACACACCTCTTCATATTGGATTTTAATCCATCCTCTATTTAATGTTAATATTTCTATTGAAAATCCAGTGTTTTTTTTATCAATGGCTTCCTAATATCTAATATCTTGAAATCCCTTTCACAAATGAATGCTAGTCTGTAAACAGCAGACCCTTTCTTTGTCCCTTAAAGTTGTATTTTTATTACATTTGAAATACTTGTTTTAAAAAACGACTGTAATTTGTCTGTGATGGTTTTCTCTTCTTTGTGTAGTCCTTCTGCATCTCTGTATCGTCATTGTGTGCATTTCATTTATCCGTTAAGTCTATATCTGTCTCTTAGTGGTCATTCTGAGTCTCTTCCTCGTTGGCCTCCTTTAAACACAACGCTTGGAGGCCCTGCAGCCTTTCTTGTGATACACTTGATAACAGACACATATTGTGAACTGTGTGTGTCATTATTCTGGGTGGTATTTTACACTTCTCCATGTGTGCTGATATTTATTATTTCTCTTCCTCCTCTAGGTCCCCTCACTCAGCTCGAGAGGACAATGACACCACCGGGAGAACACTTCCTGTTCGAAAAACAATGTAAGATTTTCAGAATAAGACGAGTCATTATTACAGAGTTAGGATGTTTAATTACACAGTGAGAGTTTGAGGCGTTTTTCCTGAACAGCCAGTAGGTGGAGTTGTAATCATATAAATAATGTGTCCTCAGTGACGGCCAGTGGTACTTTATATACTGAACAGTATTAATGAAAGCTAGATATTAGCCAAATCAGAAAAACCTTTATTGGTCAAAACAGCGGTGACATAAAAAAAAACTCAAATCCAAAGTAAGCGAACATACATATCGAAAGAGACCGTTTTTTTTAGGGGTTTTCTGTTTCTGTCTTATCATGTCATTGTGTATTTTGGTTTATATGTTTCATTGCTATTACTGGAATGGTCTTTTTATGTTATTATCATTATTGTTTTGTCATCCTGCATTTGTACTCTGTATTTTTCTCCTGTTATTGTGTTATGTGTGGGACAAAGCAATAAATAAGTGTTAAAAAAGAAAAAGCCAGTTATAACATTTAAAAAAAAAGAAGAAGTTGTATTTAGACAATTATTGCACATTTTACACTCTGTATCGTTGTATATTGGTAGTCTACATACCGTTTACTCCCTTTATGCTTCAAAATATCCTTTTGTCTTCATACTAGATGTGAGTTCTGACTAGAGATGGCAAAAGTACACACATCCTTTACTCAAGTAGAAGTACAGATACTCGTGTTTAAAAATACTCTGGTGAAAGTAGAAGTACTGACTAAACTTCTTTCCTCAAGTGAAAGTAAAGAGGCTTTGAAGTGTCCTTCAGTAAAAAGTACCCATAACTAGCAGCTGCTTTAAAGAGTACCTGACCTCCCTTTATATTAATAGAACAATAATGTCATTGTTAGCTAATGAATGTTTCCATGCTGAACAACGGCAACATGACAACGTTTCCATTGGTCCCTCTTCTTTAGAGAAGACCAGGAAATGATGGATACACGGATCGTGTTCAAATCAATAGGCACGCAATGACTCTAAAGAATAATGATCACGCATCAAACACACATTCAGACTAAAGGAACCAGCTGTTTGGAAAATGAGAGAAGTAGAAAGTACAGGTATTTGAGTTCAACATGTA